CTTACTAACGTACGTAACCGTACTACTACTACTTACTTTACCTTTCCTTTACTTAACGTTAAGTTAAGTATTAGTTTCTTTTCTTTACTACTACTACTACTACTCTCTCTCTCTCTCTCTCTCTCTCTCTCTCTCTCCTCCTCCTCTCTCTCTCTCTCTCTCTCTCTCTCCTTCCCTCCTCTCTCTCTCTCTCTCTGTGCTGCGTGCGCGAGCTCAGGCGCGCGCATGTGTGTGTTCGTGTGTCTGTGGATGATGATGGGTTGCCTATGTTCATTGGCAGGTTATCACTGCTCAGTACTTTGTGTGGTTCTTCTGCCTATTGCCTTTGATATTGCCATGGACCACCATGAAGCTGAGATGGACAGGGTTATTGTGCATTTGCTTGTGGGTGGCGGCTCAAATTCACTGGTTGATGTGGGGTTATCTATTGGAATTTAAAGGGATGAATGTCTTTATTGAGCTCTGGTTGGCAAGCATATTTTTCTTGGCTGCTAACACTTGGGTCATGGTCGTGATCATGAAACACCACAAGTTTTTACCTCTCTTTGTCGATTCTAAATCAACTGCTGAAAAAAAGATTGATTGAAGAGACTGTTGGAGTAGAAGCCAGATTTTTTAAGGTTAAAATGGTGAAACTTTTCCTCTTCTCGCTTAAATTTTGCTTTGATATCTTTTCTGGTTTTGATTGAAATAGATGGTCGTGATTCAGAAAGGAATCTGCTGATTGCGCACCTCCTGCCTTTCTTGTTGAACCAGTGTTCTGCAGGGTGACTTGGGACTCACCTGGGTCAGTCAGGATCAGGTGCCAGGTGATTCATGTCTGAAAACCCCAAAATCACCTGAGTCTCCCAATTTTTCCATGACTTTTAAAGTTTTCTTATTAGAAATTGCCTGGTTCATCTTGGGCCTTGGCGACTCAGAGCCTGATATCCAAACTGCTTAAACACTGATTTAACGGGATCTCCCCCTTCATTACTCTCTCTCTTTCTCTCTCTCCTCCATTTCTTAGGCTTGTTTGTTGGTCTTCACTCCCATCATGTATAAGTGGGATGTACCCTTTGTGTCTATGTAATTTACTATTGAGATATCTACTATTTCTCTATAATTGGTTTGCTCTCTCGCTTCCTCCCTCTCTCTCTCTCCATTTCTAAGGCTTGTTTGTTGGTCTTCACTCCCATCATGTATAAGTGGGATGAACCCTATGTGTCTCTGTAATTTACTATGGGGATATCTACTATTTCTCTGTATTTTACTATGGGGATATCTACTATTTCTCTATAATTGGTTTACTCTCTCTTTCTCCCTCCCTCTTCCTCTCTCGCTTTCTCTCTCTCTCTCCACATAAGTGAAAGTGGCCCTTAAGTAGTGGTTTTAATTTTGAAATTTTATTCAAAGCTGATTGCTTCTTGCAACAATGTTTCGAATGCAGCTTTGGGGCTTGAAGTATGAGATGCATGTTGTTATCTCGATTAATTATGTGCTCTATCATTCTATGTTTTAATGTTGGTTGAGGTTTGTATAAGTTGCCCTCCTTTAGAAGTAAGGCGCACCTCTGAATTCACTCACATGGTCACAATTAATCTTGACCTTACTTCTACATATGATGTATTTTTTAATTTTCTAAGATGGCCGCAATTAATTTTGACTACTGGATATGAAATTGGGTGAATGTATTTATTTTATTGATCATACTCGAAGTTCAAACAAAATTTTTTCGAATTTTATGACACATTCAAGCTATTAAATTACACATTGAATGGTTATAGATAATTGTGAATTTTTTGTATTAAAAGTAGAGAGTTTTTGTCTACAATCTTTTTTTTATTTTTGGACTCTTTTAAGTGTTAAGGAGCACAAAAAACAATTAAAAAAAATCCAGTCATTGTAAATTGGTTTTCAAAAATTTCAAATCAAGACTGCAGCCATGTGAATCTCTCGATCATTTTCCGTTAAGGGAGATATAATCCGTACTCTAGAATCTAGATTTCGTGGATTTCTTTTAACTAGCATTTGGATTGTATTTTATGGCTTCTAATACTAATGACCTGTCATGTTTTGGTTTAGAAATGCTTGTAGTTGAAACTTGATATCAGGGTTGTCAAACTCATTTTGCTTTGGCTGAAGCCTTCGGATTTTAGGCCTAGACCAAAGTGAAGCGATGTGTGGTACTGCCGCTTAGATCAGGCTTGGGCTGCTTTGGGTAGATTCGGCCAAAGCGAAAAAATATCAATATAAAAAAAAATTACTTTTTTTTTGAAATTTTTAATTTTTACTATTTTTATAGATATCTATTAAATTAAAAAAAAAAAAAAGTTTGAAATCTTACCCCAAATTGGCTGAAGCACTAAATTGTTTAATTTTTTTCACCAAATCGAAGAACGTTTCGAAGCGAATCTGACAACATTGCTTGATATGCATTTTTTTATTATTATGAGATTTCAGGATGAAAAAATTGTGATATTGGAAACTTGCACTTTTCTATATTTATGAGATTTCGAGATGGCAAAAAAAATGGGATATTGGAGACCTGGACTAGAAATCAGCCTGTTTTAGCTGTCTATTTTTCATTGATAAGAAGGTGGTTTTTGTTAAATGAATGGGGTTTCAGATTCATTGCTAAGTGGTTAGAACAAATTAGATAATCTTGATCGCATAGAAAATAAAAAGTTCATGTAGTTATAGAGGGCACAATACACAGTTGGGAGCATGTTTAAGTATTTCAATTTCATTTTTCTCAATATATTGGATTGAGCTAAATTTTTGGTAGCATACCTCTCAACCTCGTGTACTTTTAAAACTATAAAAAGGCATGTTAAAAAATAAAATAGATGAAATAACTAGGCGTGCTAACTGGATCGGGCCTACCCTTTAGCCAAACTCGAGTTCAGTTCTTTACCCAAATATTTGACCTAGTGAATCAGGGTCTAGGCCCAAATGCCCTAGACCAGATCTAGGCTGATCTTGGACCTTATAGGGTTGGGTTGGGATTTGAGACAAGGTTGTCACAGTTTGACTCTATATTGTTAGATATTTATAAATAAAATTTATTTATATTTCATCTAGATCCAGACCCTACATGACCCAATACTTGGATCCGAATCCAATGACCTTGACCCAACACGGGTTCGGGTCAGATTTGGGTCCAACTAGGACAATACCACAAACGTAGACTCGACCTGACCCAGCTCGACGCATCAACACCTTAAAATATGGGAGGCATTTTAGTCATTTATCTATGGGTGGAATTTGCATAGATCCCAGGCTCTAAACAATTAAATTAGATCCTACCTTCAAATAGCTTCGGCTCTATATAAACTTTTCTAAACAATTAAATTAGATCCTACCTTCAAATAGCTTCGGCTCTATATAAACTTTTCTATCTATTTGAATATTCTAGGACACGTTTGTAGTGAGTTAACTGACTCAATTATTATTGTTGGTCTTATTGTGCATCAATGTCCGCCTTTTGAAGGGTGTTTTATACAAAAGGGTCAGTCGGCTGTCTCACTAAATACTTTTCCTTCTGCAATGGAATGAGGTGTGGGCATGCTCCATCTGCATCTCTATTGATAAAAATAAATAAAATAGGAAAATTTTTATAATGAGGCTATTTATCTTTGATACAAGGTGGTCACAATTAATCGTAACTATTTGATGTGAAATTACATTATTGCATTTATCTCATTGACTAAGGTCAAACTTCAAAAAAAAAAATTTCAAACTTTGTGACACACCCAAACTATTAGATTTCATATCGGATGGTTGAACATAATTGTGATCTCGTTGTATAAAAGATAAATGGTCTCGTATACAATCCCATAAAATAGATGAAGATGTGGAGGGTTTTTTCTTGTAAAATTTTTAACCAATATATACTCTTAAAAGGAAAAATTCATACAAGGTGTCCACCTTATACTATAGAAAAAAAAATACACTTGAAAAATCCACCTAAACGTTTTGTTTCAATAATGAAAATCCCTACCATTGATCATCTCGACATTGAGATATGTGTATATTAAAAAAAAGAATTTCAAGTCCTATAAATAATACATCTTGTTGCAACAGTATTCATATATATATATGTGGAAAAAGTTTATATAAGGTTGCAACCTTAAAATGTAGAATCACATATGCACCTCAAAAATCTATTGGAAATGTTGTTTTAATGTTGAAAAAACCCTCTAATAGATGATATCGACATCGAGATGTATGAATATGAAAAAAAAAAGGTTTTTGAGTCCCCGAAATGGTGCATCTTGCAACATATTATCTAAACAGTCAATTTTCCAAATTTTCATATGTTTATATATCTACTTGATTTTAACCATTTTTGAATTCTAAAATTATGGTGTTTGTGTGTATGTAAATCTTGGACCATTCATTTCAATAAATACACAATCTTATAGTACATTATTTAGATGGATAGTATTTGCGTGTATGTAATAAACTTTCAAATTTTATCGTGCCGACCCCGTAACAAAAAAAGTGTGAAAATAGGTTTTAACGGATATAACGTTCCGACACCCGAACAACAAGATTTCGAGATTTTCCTTGCTTTAATTGATTAAAGTTGGCTCCGCGCCTTGTGCAAACCACTTGCACCTGTAATTCAACATTCATGGCGAAAAGCCCATCAGACTCCTTCTTTCAAACTGTCGAAAACCTTGGGCAGTGTCTTCAATCCCACCTCTCAAACTTCTTACAAAGAATCGATTCCCATAGAAAAAGTGACCCGTCACTGAGCTTTAACCAGGAGAAGCTCTCCTCTTCCTCTTCTGCAACTGTTGCAGATGACCCCATCAATTTGCCTCCACTTCTCGTGAAACAGGTGATCATTTGCCTTTCAAAGTTCTGTGTTTTGTCGATGAAATCAAAATTATAATGCCTGTCTTGAGTAATTAAGGCTCCTTCGAGAACTCAGCAGTAAAAGATGATGGGTTTATCTATTACCGACCTTGTCGGTATTTCTGCTGGTGTACTTTTGACTTGAATGGATTTGTTTCTAGAATTTATGATGCGGGTATTTTAGAAAATGGGAAATATTAGAGAATTTCCAGTTAATCTACTTCGGGTTTCCATTAGTTATAGGATTTGATGGGTTCTTTTTGGAGGTGTATGGACTGGTTTTTCAAAATTTTAGTTTTCTTTTATTTATTTATTGTTTTTTTTATAATGAGGATGAGAACTTGTAGAGGGTTTCTAGTAATTTTAATTGACCTTTTGTTTGAAGGACCAGTCTGCAAAACCTTCAACAAAAGAGGAGGTGGGAAGGGCCACATGGACTCTGCTTCATACCATTGCAGCCCAGGTGTTTCATTAATCTTTATACTTCCTCTTTTGTATGTTCTGTGATCTCTGATTTCTCTTAATGAACGTTGTAGTAATTAGGAGATGCAAAATGGAAACAAAGAACTGGGAAAGGTCAGGCTTACAATTTAGTTCAATCAAAACAATGAAGTAAATGGAAATGTCAGGCTTACAATTGAACTGGATCATACTTACTACTAACTGGGTCATCAGGAAACACATAAAAATGGAACGAAAGAAGCAAGAAATAAAAAAAACAAAATGGGAAATTGGTTTATGATTAACATGATCACCCTGATATTCACGATTTTTTATTGTTATTGATTCTTGGTAATTATACTGGTAGCTATAGAAGTATTTGAGTTCTTCTATGCTTCTATATTTTTGTGTAGTTCAGCGGTAGAAATCAAACTTCTGGCTTAATTTTGCTATTGTCAACACCTAACTTGTAAAGCCCAAGTCTGTTCTAATACGCTTCATTTTTTAGTTATAAAAAGACATGACACCCCTTTTTATTTTACAGTATGTACTTGTTGAACATCGGATTGATTTGCTTCTCACATGTTTGACTTTTGCAGCTTCCTGAGCGTCCAACGAAGCAACAGAAACGAGATGTGAAAGAATTGGTAGGTTGTTTTTCCCCTCTTGCATATAAATATCATGGAAGTTTTTCCTGTCTCTTTGACACTGTATGAATTATGAAATTGGCACTGGTATAATGTCCTATCGTTACTTGAAAGGTGCCCTTACAAATACGAAATAGTGCCCATTGCTTGAGAGCTAGTTTTGCATGAAACTACACATTGATGACCTCAAAAATCAAGCCTCAAGCCATAGTGTTGTATATCTGCCAGATTTCTTTGTAATTTAGTTATTTACCATCTTTCTACATTATCCAGTTCCAATGGGAATGGGTGGTTCCTTCCCAATCTGCCTGCACTCCTCCTAAGCCACATGTAATGAGCAAACCACCTGAGGTTCTGTTGGAATTTTTTTGGCCAATGTATAAAATGACTTTGGATAATCATTTATCATGTGTGAAAATTACTAGAGAGCCCCTACATTGTTGTTATATGGAAAGGGGTTCTCAAGAAGAGCACTCTGATCCTTAAGTAACTTGGATGGATTTCTGTTGGAGTTCATAAGTCATAAGTTTATGTTGTCTAACATGTTGAAAAAAAAAATGTGTTGAATAGCATTCCAACCATGTTAGAATGTTGATCATATACTTGGATTGTGACAACGCCATGCATTGTGGTGAGATCCTGAGCTCGCTGGACTTGGCTTGACAACTTGCCACATTCTTAAACAAACAAGCTTGATAGAGACAAGAATCAAGTTTTGACTCGCTTGACTCTAATTTAAGAATCCAGTGTACTCTTGATATTTTGTTGTCTTCATATGACTTGATGTAAGTGTTTTTTTCTTAATCAGTAAGATGTGTTCTAGTTTTTAAAATTATTCTTTTAAATTCATTCTTTCAAGATCCTTTGTTTTGTAACGTTTATTTTAGATACACAGGTTTCAACCACTCTGCGGAGGACTAGAACTGTTCTGAGCTATCTAATTTCTTTGCATGTGAGTTTGCTGTCAGTAACAAGAAACTATTGTAGAGAATCTATGTCCTTCAAGTCAAGTTGAAACGTGACTGAACATTGATAATCATCTGTGGTTATAATATTGTCAAAAACAGTGAAGAATCACTGTTGCCATGTCTTGTAGAGTTTGGTCAATCATTGAGTTGTCTACTTTAGCAATGGCCAGGAGTGATGGGAGCTGCACCAATAACTTAGCCATGGACATTTCCTTCCTGCTCCGTGGTGTGCTGTTGACCCCTTTCTAAGCCTCATCCACCTCAATTGAGTGCACCAACAATTTCTTTTAGAATATAAGTGCACCAAAATTTATTTTTGAAGATTAGAACCAATAATTTTGTTCATAATCTTCCTATGGGTATTTTCTTCTTCTTCTTTTCTTTTTTTTTTCTTTTTTTTTTTTGTAGAAGGTCACATGGGAATGGAACTTGAGTCGTTGGGCTATGAAACCTAGCCTCTACCATCTTGACCCAAGCTCGTTTCCTTCCTATGGGTATTTTCATGTTTTATTACTTCTGTATTGACGACAATGAGCAAGGTGCTGATGATATGCTTTCTTTTTTTGGAGAAAAGCTTGACCTTTTGTGGCATCCATATCAACAGGACGGAGCCCTAACGAGCTTATCAGATCCCTCCCTGAGAAGGTAGGTCAGTTGCAATAGTGAGGAGTCCCTTGAATAAACCTACAACGCCCATTGGAAGGTTAAAAGTGTGAAATTAGGGGTCTGTTGTCTCTCCTTTGCACTATGCTGATGGTACTCTCATATTCTGCAATGCAACTCAACAACAAGTAGATGCCCTATGGCATTATCTTTAAGATGTCTTACGGTTGTAACAGGACTCAAGATTGGCTAAATATAAAATCATAGGTATTGCCATAGTTTATCCAGTGACTCAAGCTTCCAAAAGGTTGGGCTGTGGTGTAGAATCTTTATATGCCAAATACCCAGGCCTGCCCCTTTGCATTGGCAAAACTAGGAAACAGCTATGGGATCCATTGCGGAAAGATTTGATTGCAAAGCGAGCGGGAAGGAAGGTTTCAATGGTGGTTTGGATAGCTTTAATCAATGCCAACCTCTCAAATGTTCTTATTATATAAATGTCCTTATTTCAAAGGCCCATGTCCATAATGGTTCAATTAGAGAAACTAATGAGGAATTTTCTTGGGTCCAGTAACAGCGGAGAGTGACGAGAGTCACATATTCCACCTTCTGGCCTGGGAAACTATCTGTTTTTCCATATCGTAGTGTGGTCTTAGCATTCGTAGACTAAGGCAATGCAATGCTTCCTCTTTGGAAAATGGTTGTGGCAGTTTGCCACACAAGAGAATAAATTGTCTCTAGTAGTTAGGCATAAGTTCCAATCTGAACCTTCGGCGTGGCCACCAAATGGCACTTCAAATGCAAGATCCTCGGGCACATGGCGCTTGAAAGTGGCCAGGTTTAATAAATCCAAGGAAAATATATGCTTTATTAGCAGATGTGGTGAACAAATAAGCTTTTGGGCTGACCTTTGGATTGGGGATTCCCACCTCCAAAGTTGGTTGCAATCCATTTTCCTTTGGGTGCCCAAATTTCAGGAGGTTCTTGCAGGATCAGAAGTTCACTGAGTTTGCAGTCAGCCTTTTCCAAACTACTTACATATCTACAGGGGTCTCCGACAGAACCATTTGGATCCCCTCCCCTTCAGGAAAGTTCACATTGTCATCCTTAGCACAGCACATTAGGACACCCACCCCCCAACCTCTCCTCCTTAACTGTTGGCAAAAGAGCATGGCTGAAACCTATTCCCCCCAAAATCTAAACATTCAGCTGGTTTGCTATCTCCAGTAGAGCACTCACGGTTACCCATTACAAAGGAGGGGTATCCCTTCCCCAACCGATGTGTCTTGTGCAAAGTAGCCAAAGAGACAAACTGGCAACCCTTCCTCCATTGTGAAGTGTCTGGGGCTTTATGGGCTGACCTGCTACAAAATTTTCAGTGGCCATGGTCCATCCCACAACTATTTCAGGCCTTCTTATCCCCACCATGCTTGCTAGCGAGCCTTTTCATTTGGCGTGCTGCAATAGCAGCAGCTATTTGGGTGTTGTGGATTGAAAGGAATGCTAGAATCTTTAAAGTTAAGGAATGCAAAACCAATGCCCTTATAGATCACATCAAAGCAATGGTTATAACTCTGGCACAAAATACAAAGATTTCAAAATTTGTGCCATCGCAAACTTCCTGAACAATTGGCAGCCTCTGCTAACTAGAAATTTCCTTATCTCTATGGAGGAGGACGCCAGAAAATGGTCAAATCAAGCTAAAATTTTGATGGTTGCTCACTCAACAACCCTGGTTAATGGGTTATGGGGGTTTATTTAGAGAACATAATCGAAATGCTCTCACTCCCTACTCAGGATTTATTGGTTTGACTGTTTCCACAATGGCCGAAACCTTGGCCCTACTTGAAGGTCTCAAAAGAATTAATGGGGAATCGGGCAGCTCTTTAGTTTTATAGAGGGTGACTCCAAAAATATGATATCTTGGGCATCCGTTTTCTCCCTTGCCCATGGCGACTGGGGCACATATCTGACCAAATATTTGATTGACGCATGCACATCCACACATTCTCTTAGCATACATGGCGGGAGGCCAGTTAAGCTGCTGATTCTCGGGCCAAAGAAGGAGCTACTTCCAGAAGTGATATGACCATTTTGGCAACTTTTTGAGATCAGTTCCATCTACATTTTTTGGTTTCTTTTCAGTGTTAATCAACGTACAGGGTGCCTGCACCTCATTTGTGTGGTGTATAGAGCACCAAACTTGTGGGCTGCTGTCTTTTTCTTTACCATACTTCTTTATTTATATAGAACAGTTAACATTACACAAAAAAATTTTAAGGCATGACCAAAGGATGAACTCATCTCATTCACAATTTACTTGCTCAAGATTTTGATATTGCTGCCAAGGAAATATATGATTTTTCCGTGAACCACTCGTGCTCAAATTATGTGCTCCAATTTTAATAATGATACATGGTTAATTACTCATTGACTACCATAGCAACATCAATGCACGACTTGTTCAGCTTGGAAATGTCCAGAAACCCTCAAAAAGATGAGATTCTCTATGCCCTTTTGGAATTTTTTGTTACCCTAGATCCTAGCTTGACACCCGACAATTGTGGTGTACATTCCCTGCCCATGTTGAGAATGAGATTTGGACTTCGCTGGCGATCCTGGACGACAGGCCCCCCATCTCTCCATCGTGATCAATGGCTCATGACTTGCTTAGCTTGGAAATGTCTGGAAACCCTCAGAAAGATGAGATTCTCTACGCCCTTTCAGAAGTTTTTGTTACCCTAGTTAAATCCTAGCTTGACACCCGACAATTTTGGTGTACATTCCCTTCCCATGTTGAGAATGAGACTTGGACCTCTCTGGCGATCTTGGATGAAAGGTTGCTACTCCAATCCCCATTTCTTCATCTTGATCAATGGCTCCCCTAAAAGGTTCTTCCCATCATCTAGGGGTCGGAGACCCCCTATCTCCCTTCCTGTTTGCTATCATGGCTGAGATCTTCCATTTCCCACATGTTTCGCTCAGGGTGTCTTAGTGGTTTCAAGAGTGGACCTCAGGGTCCTGTTATCACCCACCGCCAATACGCGGATGACACTGTCGTCTTCTACGGAGCCTCTCACTAGGAATTGGACGCCCTTCTCCTCTTTCTTAAATGCTTTGAATTTGCTACAGGTTTTAAGGTCAACATGGCCAAATCAAAGATGGGCAGGGTGGCCCTAGACTTCCAATCCACCCAAGACCTCGCAGCCAGTTGGGTTTGCCCGGCAGAAACCCTACCAACCAATTACCTTGGCATGCCCCTATGTATTGGAAAACTAAAGAAGAGACAGTGAACCCATGTCATTGAAAAGGTTGACTGGAGACTTGTGGGTTGGAAGGGCCGCTTCCTCTCACCGGCCAGAAGGATCACCCTTATCAAGATGACCCTCTCCAGTATCCCTATGTACCAAATGTCTCTATTCCATATGCCCACAGCTGTGATCAACCGACTCAAGCAACTCATGAGAAACTTCTTATGGTCGGGTGAGGCCAATAGTAGGAAGTTCCACCTCATTTCCTGGGAGAAATTTTGCCAGCCTAGACGCCTTGGAGATCTTGGCAACGTAACTTGAGAAAGCACAACACAGCCCTTCTTGGTAAATGGTGGTGACACTTGGCTCCTCATGCTGACCAACTGTGGATTCAGATTCTTTGGCAAAAGTACCTCTTCGACCCCTCCCAATGGGTCCCAGATTGTAGGGCTAACAACAGGTCCACAGGGACTTGGAAATTCATTCTCACCTCTCTCAGCGTTGTCAAAAACCTCATCAGGTTCCATCCTCGGGAGGGCCGTCGCCTTAGTTTTTGGTGAGACCTCTGGATTGGGCATACACCCTTCAAAGACCTTTTTCCCTCCCTCTTTCTCCTGGCACACAATCAGCTCACTTCTGTGGCAGATGAAATACCCATCTCGGGAGCTTTGCGAGCTTGGAACCCCACTTTTCGGAGACCCCTTACTGATGTAGAGGTCGCTGAAGTTTTAAAACTTTTCTCCTTACTCCATTCCACTTTCATTGCCCCTCAAGGCAGCGACCTGATCATTAGGATAGGGAGTCTTTTCGGTCACCTCCTATCAAAAGCTCTTACAACCGCCCACCTTTCCCCTCTCCCCCATTTCCATAGTTGCCCAGGCCTGGTCCTCCATTGCTCCCCCAAGAATCCAAGTCTTCAACTGGATTGCATTGTCAGAAAGAGCCCTTACGGTCGACCAGCTTCAAAGGAGGGGCCTGCCTATACCTAATAGATATGTGATGGGTAAGACTGATGCAGAAACCAACTCCCACATCTTCATATACTGTCCCCTTGCTCAGGACCTTTGAGGTGCACTACTAAATTGTTCAACTGGCAATGGGTCACACCCCAGTCGATCCCACTCCTTTTCAGGTCCCTTCACCTCTTCTCTTGGCCCAAACCTGGCATTCTCTTGTGGAAAGCATTGGTCGTGGCTACTCTTTGTATCATCTGGACCAAGAGGAACAAAAGGATATTTCATGGTGAGTGGTCCTCGCCATGTTCAACAAAGTTAAGTCCATTTTTGGGCAACCAACCACAAACTCGTCAAGGGCTTCTCCCATTCTGCCTTCATCCAGGATTCGCAAGCATTTCTCTTCTCAAGGCGGACCCGTATTCCTTGTGCCTCCTTGTGGAGACCCCCGAATCCTGGACAGATCAAACCTAACCTCGATGGTTGCTCTCTTGGCAACCCTGGCCCTGCAGGCATAGGTGGCTTATATAGAGACTATACGGACCGGATCCTGGCCTCCTCCTCTAAACACATTGGCCATACTGATTCACAATCAGCTATGGCCCTTGCCCTTCTTGAGCTCCACAAATTGTTCAATCCACAGTGGAGCCCTTTTATATCGTCGAGTAAGATTCAAAGAATGTTATCCGTTGGGCCTCGAATTCTTTTCCACCCCCTTGGACAGTTGCCCACATTTTTGACGAAATTTCTCACATATGCATGCATATGGACATCTCATGGAGGCCTATGGGGCACAAGGCCAACACCGAGGCTGACACTCTCACTAAGAATGGAGCTCACAGTAGCGTATTTTGATTTTGTTGCATCCTCCCCCTTTTCCACTGCACTGTAACTATCTGTGGGGTATTTTTTGGACCTAGCCCTTAGCTTCTTACTTTCTCGGTGATTTTGTACAGGGTCACCTCTTTGTGGGTAGCCTTTATGTTTATGCTTTTTGTATAGAGCTCCCATTCTTTGGGAAGCTTACTTTTTGTATACAGCTCCTGGCATGTGAGAAGCCTATTTTTTGAAACATGTAATCTTCCTCTCCTCAATAGAAGTTAACATATTAGAAAAAAGAACAAGAAAAAAAGGTAATCATGTTATATCTTGGACCAGTAAAATGCAAACCACAGTTACTAGATCCCATGCATAATCAGATTACTGTGCTAAAACCAATTCCGCAGGGTTAATGAATATCAGTTTCCTAGTTTTTTATTCGGGTATCTGTTTTAAGTAGCCATTTGTTATGTTGTAAGCAAAGGATCATTAATATTTTGGGGAATATGGACTTTCATACTCATACGATTATCAGAATTTTATTTTATTTTGGAGAAAGACATGGCCAAAATAATTCATCTGAGTTTGTGTACCCTCTAATCAGGTAGCTTATGCACTAAACTTCCTACTGGCTTCTTGGTGTTTGCTTAAAGCATTTGTTCTACTAGAATCTTAGCTTGCACATCAATAAAATCAGAAATTACACTTAGATAAGTATTGTTTAAATATAAATATGAGATCTGATTTACTGTATGTTGCAATTGTGTGTGTTTGTGTGCACGTGCGTGAGTGTGAGCATCACTTAATGGTATCTGAAGAGACTTAATGGTATCTGGGTATCTGAAGAGATCGCTTGCACTCTTTTCATCTGATTTCATTTTACATATATTGGACCTTGTATCTCATGTGTCGTATGAGGGTTCAAAATTGTGATGTTAAATCCTTTCCTAGTGGTAACTTTTAAGCAATAAAAGAGAAATCATTTTTTTTTAGCTGCTTGCTCCATGGGAATCTTATGACCTCGTATGTTATACGTTGTACTTAACTATTCATAAGTGGAAAGCATGAGAAAGGCCACTCATCACAACTATAGCAGCTTTGTCTTTGATTTTGCAGATGGCCATATTATCCCGAATTTATCCTTGCAAAGAATGTGCGGATCATTTTAAGGAAGTTCTCAAGTATGTATCTATTTGACTTTTTATTTTTTTTATCTGTTTTGTTCTCCACTTCATCGTGCCGATATTTTATTCTCGAAAAATTGTTGCTTGTTGAACTTTACAGAGCAAATCCAGTGCAAGCAGCATCACAAGCAGAGTTCTCGCAATGGCTATGTCACGTGCACAATGTTGTCAATAGAAGGTATGTGCAGCTTTGCCATTGAGAATTTGCTAATATTATTTTGCTTTTGTGGGCTAAGTGCTGATTATTATTGTTTTTGTGGTTTAAATGTTGATCCTATAACTGTCTTGTCCATATGATACCTTGATATGTTTATCTTATTTTCACTCACAATGTTTTTCTTCTGCTTGCAGTCTCGGTAAGCCTGCTTTTCTATGCAACCGAGTAGATGCAAGGTGGGGTAAATTGGATTGCCAGGATCGCGCTTGTGATTTACAGGGAATAGATACATTTTTAGATAAATAATCAAGGCTAAAAATTTATGAAAAGAACGATAGAAATTGGTCTTTATTTTTGTTATGGAAAAAGTTTATATAAGGTATCAACTTTTTACTGTGAAAGTAAAGTGCATCTCAAAAACCCATGGGAAAAGGTTGTTTCGCTGCTAAAAAAGACTTCAAATAGATCATCTCAATCACAATCTCAACCTTAAGATGTATGGATAAGAAAATAAAATAAAATTCCAAGTAATGAAAATAGTGAATCTTGAAATATATTATTTGGACGATTCTATTTTCAAAAAAAATTGCTCTTATTGATCTAGTCAATTCTAAAAAATGACAAAAGATAGATCCAAAAATACATAATTGGAAATAGTGAGAAAAGATATAAAGATTTACAACCTCACTGTAAATGTGAACCTTAATAGAGCAGAATGACAAATTAAAATTCGTGCAACGGACATCAATTAATTGAGAAAAAATTTTGACGATGATGATGATAGATCTAGTAAGTTCACATCTTTTTTAAAGCTTTAAACTTCATAATTAGGGGTAATAATTGATTTTTGTGCCATAATGCTTTCTAGCACTGAAAATGTATCTTTTGGCATTAGTTTTACTTCTATATCATTAGGATGACACCTTATACAAACCTCATGGGGAAGGGGAGAAAAACATGCTCCTATATCCATAGATTGAACCGCCATCGATGGTTTTAATTGATGCCCTCTCTCTCCCCGCATGCATAAACTGCAGTTGGGGCTTTTAACAGAAGCTCTCTCTCTCTCTCACATGCAAATGCCACCAGACGAGCTTTTGAAAAAAGGAGGGTAGAAACGCCATTGTTTGGGCTTGGGCATGTAATATTGTGAATGGTAATTTCACTGTATCAAAACCCTTCAAAAGTTGTAAAAGCTGAATTCAAAGAATATTTCCATCTATTTATTTTATGCAAAATCATTCTTCCCCACTGATCAACACCTTTTTTGGCTCAACTCCAATAAATAATAAAGTATATGCTTGCTAGACTTTACTAAGATCAAAACAATTGCTACAGGGTGTACATAGACTTCCTCTTCCATGAGGGAGGGGAGTGGCATAAGCTCAAAACCTGTCGGCTTCTTTTCATGGAACAGGCCAGAATCAATGGGCTGGGTTCAGGTGAAATATTTGGCAGCTGGGCTTGTATGACTTCTTAATCAAAGCCTGCTCAAACTTCTTGTTAACACTGTCATTCTCCTGAAGTCCTGTTTGCACGAAATAACGGATCCACCAAGACTGGCTCCGCAACTTGGCCTGCCAAAATAGTACAGTTCATACAGTCAATACTGCTAAAAAGGGAAATCTGTCTCTGTCTCTCTCTCTCCACACACACTTGAATGACTGGCTAAATAAATGTGTTCATAAATGAAGGGTAGGTATCCCCAACAATGGAATGAGACAATGGGCTTGCACAAAACGAGTCAATTTAGGCCCTAACACGACTTTAACAGGAAAATGGGCTGATTGGAAATATAGCATGTATGAATTTATGCGCTAGGCATCTCTCATTTTAGAAGAATATTATTCCGGGTTCTTAAAAATCAGAATACAGCCTACCACAATTCCGGCCGTGTTACCTCCCAGTAATGAGGAAGCACATTTCCGTTGTCGCAAAGATCTAAACTTCAGAACCAATCTAGGCTTCATTGTTTGTTGTTAGATAAACAAGTTCAATCCGGCTGCCATAGTCCTCTGTAGTAAACAAACATACAGTTGCAAAAATAAAAATGTCTTTGCAAATGGACTTTGGCATTTATAGAAGGAAAAAGTTTGTATAAAGATGCAACCTTATAATGTAGAGCTACGGTTGCACCTCAAAAATCCATCGGAAAAGGTTGTTTTAATGTTGAAAAACCTTTTCATTGATCATCTCGACATCGAGATGTATGACTATGAAAAATAAAAATATTTTAAGTCTCAAAAATAGTGCATTTTACAACATATTG